CTACCACTTCAACAGTTCTCAAACCATTTTAGTTCGATTTGAAGGACAATGGAAATTTTTATTTTTTTAAAATACAAAAGGAACTTTGAATAAAGAAAAATTATTTATTTTGAACGTTTTTGTATAGCATAGTAAAATTTTGATATTTTAACTAAATTTAATTTAAATATTCAAGAACTATTAATAAATCAAATGGTGTTCACTGGATTTAATGAAAAAGGAAAATTTTTACAGTTTTTTACAAGTACAATAACAAAATTGATGTGAAATTGAATCAAAATTTAGCCTAAAATATACTTTGACAAACAAATTGAAGGAAAATTAGAATTTAGTGAAGGATTAAATTATCAAATTTAAAACAAATTAAAACACCACAAACAATCAAGGAGTTCAACTTATCATATCCTTGTGATTTGGGTCGGTCTTTGTGTTCGTTTTTCTTTTAAATTACTAAAAAGTGATGATGTGGTTTGTACCAAATATGGGCCCCACCCGTTATAAATCTGACTCAAACTGTAAGATTATACAAAAGCTTTTTCATCTTCTTCAACAAAGAAGGGAGAGATGATGTATTTATTCATGGTAGTGATGCTGGTGATGAGCAACTACCAAGTGGTCAAAAGTGAGTTAGCAAAGAGAGGAAAAAGACGTCAGTTGGTAGAATGCACCCTTCAAGGGAGCAGCAAAACCCTGTAGATATGGAGAGATTGTGCGATGAGAAGGAGATGACGAGTTAAAAATGCTTAGATCCTTCTAAGGTTGAAGGAACTGATCAAGATCAGCCCCCAACTTCAGTACTCTAAAAGGAATTGAATCTTTTTTCCTTTGGGAGTTAAACAGTTCAAGGCCCAACGACTCAATAGTAACAACTGAAAAAAATTGTGACATTTGAATTGAATGGCTTGTCGGCAACCCTTGGTGCTCATTAACTCAACAGTAAGCCATCATAAAGACCTTGCGATCAAAATTATGCATGGGCCTGGCCAGGTTCTTAAAAATAAAAAATTATCAAATCAAATGGGCTAACTGCTTCCATTGTCATCAATAGTACAAATTTCTCATACATTTCTCATAATATAGAAACTAGTAGTAACAATACAATAAAAAAAAAAAAAAAAAACAGATAAAACGGAAGAACCAAAATTCAATAGCGCATCATCATATCATCATGTATGAGACTTCAATAGAGTATGGGGAATTAAGCATCAGCATCAAACAGCCAATTATTAGTTCAATAAAGCACGCAGGAATTATGACTACTAAAACATTAAGATTGAGGCTTCTCCCACTTGAGTGGCTTCACGACTTCCCAGGTGAAGTCTGGGTCGTCCCTTCCAAAGTGTCCATAGGCAGCTGTCTTCAAGAACCTGCTATTGCCACCCCTCTTAAGGTCAAGATTGATAGTGATCATTCCAGGCCTAAAGTCAAAGTTCTCCTTCACAATCTTAAGGATTTCCTTGTCCGGAATCTTTCCAGTTCCATATGTGTCAACATAGACTGATAATGGCTTTGGCACACCAATGGCATAAGAGACCTGCACTATGCACCTGCGAGCAAGGCCATTTGCCACAATACTCTTGGCAGCCTGTCTGACAATGTAAGCACCACTCCTGTCCACCTTGGTAGGGTCCTTACCGGAGAAAGCACCACCACCATGGGCTCCCCAACCACCGTAAGTGTCAATGATGATCTTACGTCCTGTGAGACCTGCATCACCATGAGGACCACCAATGACAAAGCGGCCAGATGGGTTGAGATGGAAGATGGTCTTCTCATCAAGGTACTTCTCAGGAATGACAGGCTTGATAACATGCTCCTTAAGGTCAGCAGCGATTTCATCATTTGTGACTGTCTCATCGTGCTGAGTGGAGATAAGGACAGTGTGGACACGAACTGGAACCCTGGCACCATTCTCGTTGTAGTACTCAACAGTAACTTGAGTCTTACCATCAGGTCTCAGCCAAGGGCAGGTGCCATTCTTCCTAACTTCAGTGAGACGGGCCCCAAGCTTGGTTGCAAGGACATGACTCAGGGGCATGAACTCAGGGGTCTCATCAGTGGCATAACCAAACATATGGCCTTGGTCACCAGCACCAATCTCTTCTGGGCGCTTGGTAAAATGACCGTGAACACCCTGTGCAATGTCAGGACTCTGCTGCTCAATGTTGACCAAGACCTTGCATTTGTCAGCATCAAGACCAACATCATCAGAAACAAAACCTATGGAACGGCATGTGTCACGAACAATCTTCTCATAGTCGACGTCAGCCTTTGTGGTGATCTCACCAAAAACCATCACCATGTTGGTCTTGGTGCATGTCTCACAGGCAACCTTGCTGTCAGGGTCCTGAGCAAGGCAAGCATCAAGCACTGCATCGGAAATCTGGTCACACAACTTGTCGGGGTGACCCTCGTTCACAGACTCAGATGTGAATAGAAAGGTCTCCATTCTTGCAATCTACAGAGAGATAACACACATATTTTAATATAACGATCAGTACAGAGAACAAGAAAAAAAGAAGGTCCCTCTTAGGGGGATGGGACAAACATACATCGATTCACATGCATAGACAATAAGAAGAATAAATATCTCCAAGTCGAATAAAGTTCATGTATTGCCATCAAAGAAAGCATAAAAGAGAAATGGAGAACTTCCTATCTCAGAGTCTTACGTTCTCAGAGAGCATAAAGGATAATAAAAAGGTTCACTGGATTCCAGAAGCACCGCAGGACAAAAAAGTTCAAAAAGAAAAATCAGCATCCAGGATAAAGTAATCTAACGATAAATTTAATTCCTAAAGCATTTATTCTGACACTTTTTGATGCAGTTTCTTGGGACGGGAGGGTAGTTAAACAAAATGTTTTCTATCCGAAAATAAATAAATAAATAAACAATAGATGTAACATTTATATGAGACAGTATGTCCAATATATCATCCAGAACTGAACTCTTGCAGACCCAAACTTAAAGTGAACGTCTGGGTGAAGTTCAAGATACAGAATCATCTGTGCGCGCAACATGCATCTATTTAGTATAGAACAAGACAAAAGGACAAGCAAGATTTTTAGCTAACGATCTCCAAACTCTAGCATTTTTAACAACTCCTCAATAGCTCCAAGTTCCAAGAATTAAATGGACCAGTTGGATAAATCTGAGCATTAATTAGACACAGAGTCTATTCTGGATCACAGGCACACAATGCCATTGTTACAACCAAGAGTTCCGTCAACAGAAGCAGCAATAGCACATTAATAGGATTCACATCTCCGTATCACCACCGAAAACATTGAAAGATATAGAAGTCACACTTCCAACCATCGTAATCCAAAAGGAGAAAAGTATGCGGCATGAATTGATAAATGACAATTTACAACCTCTGGGAAATTTCTGAAAAGGTGAAGACTGTATAAAAAAATCCCCTGCAACCTTGACACGGAAAACGAGAAAAGATCTGCGCTAGATCTCACTATACAACTGAAGAATATGCTCAAATAAGAAGTCGAAACGGAAAGCTAAAGTAAATATAGAGATTTTCTCGAGTTAAAGAAATTAATTTTCCTCCCAATAAAAAATAAACTAAAAATCATGCTGCAAGCCACATTTATTTCATGCGTACTCGAGTTGCAACAAACGTAAAACAATAAGATGGGTGGTTATAGTTAACACATCAAATCCATAAATGAAGCCATGATTAAATCACAAACTCTCAGATCTCATGATTTCAAAGAGCGGAATGCTAAGAGTTCACACAACGAACTCGAAAATGAACAAAAACCAGGGCCGACACTTGGAAACACTCATAAACATTCAGATCTGCGAGGCATATGAGTCAAACTTGAGTCAAATCAGAACCTACTCTTCAAACACGAACACAAATACAAAAGGAACCAAATCTTTCAAAAGAGACATCATCCAGAAGCAGCAAACGCTCATTATATCGGGAAATGAACAAAATAATCCGAGAACAGAACAAGTAAATAGCACGAAAACGAGGAGAAAAAGCCGCAAAGAGCAACACAGAGACAAAGGGGATGAGAGAACTAACTGTAATTGGACGTATGAATTCCCGTGCAGATCTAGAGACCAGAACCCCAAACAAGCGGAAACTGGAGGATTCAACGACTTTGAGACCTCGAATGCCCTATATTTATAGAGCAACGGCAGTATCAACCGGTCACCGGTTGGTGCGGTCCGGTTTTATTTTTGAAGCACCTGGAAATCTAAATTTCAGTGGTTTACCAAACGAAAGGTAGCCGTTGGATGCGAGTAATTCTAGCGATGGGATTGACCGGGGTTGGTGAGAAGAGGAGAGCACTTGAGAATTTGCTGGTATTTCCTTTTAATTACCGGGAAATATCTGGTCATTTACCGAACTCAACCGGTTGCCAGCTTTATCGGCTTTAGTTGTTCGGCTTGGCTCATGGCTTCTAATATTTGTTCAGCACCCCAGAGTGGGGTTGGTGGATGGTTGCGCGTGATTAAATTTTCATTCTAATGAATTATGCGGTCTTTTAATTCATAAAATTTTGATTTTTTTAATTTATAATGAAAAGATATATATAATTATTCTCCAATATGCTTTTTTTTTTTAATTCGTTCACACTCTAAATAATAGCTTTTTAAAAGGAAAAATATCATGATTTTTTTTTTTTGGAATTCAAATGATATAATTCATTGAAAAAGAGAGAAAAAAAAGAAAAATCTAAATAATTATAGAATGTCCCCAAATGGTTAACGCAATAAATCAAAATCACGTGGTATTCTAGCATGCAAGTTTTTAATTTTTAGCACATTAAATTTGGAATATTTTTAGCTTATTGTGTATAGATGGCTGGATATGTTGTGGTTTTAATTTTGATTAGACGTGGAAGTCAGTTGGCATGTCCATGTATGAGTAGGTGATGGATAATGATATTATCCCACAACTTTACCATGTTTGGTGTCCATGTGGTCTATTTCTTTTATTGGCAGACATTTGAAGTCTTAACATAACACTTGAAGAAAAAAAAATAAATAAATAAAATCAAAACAATTATTTTTAGCTTCCGATAAAGTAAATTGGAAGTTAGAAAAAATATTTTTAAGATATGATTCATATTGTAAAAAGTGATTAAGATTTTTGATATTCTATCAGTTTATTATTTAAATTATTTTAAAGTAAGATAAAATATTATTTGAATGTTTTTATTTTAAAAATTAAATAATGACGATTCAAAATTAATATTTATACTAAAAATAAATAAAATATTTAATTTAAGGGAAATATTCAATATAATTTTAAAAAATTATTATAGTAATTAATTTTGTACTATTATGTATTTTATTATTTTAATATTTATTACTAATTTATAATAATAAAACTAACAAGGTACTTGGAATTATTTAAAGAAATGTGTTTAATGCATTATGGTGCTTTAAGTTCCATAAATCTTTACCATGCATTTAGATAAAATGTTTATTGTGAAGAAAAAGAAGTACTTATGGTTATAAAAATTAATAAAAAATATTTATTTTTTATAAGTATTTTATAATTTACACGATCATATATTGTTAATTTAAATTGACATGAAAAGAGTATTTAAATAAATATGGGATACTGATGAAAACTATTCAATTTTTTTTAGTTTTTTTATTTATTTATATTACTCCTTATATTTTAAAGAACTAGTTAAAATTATAATACATGGTCCCAGAATATAATACCCGAGATCAATTTTGGCATACAAAAATAAAAAATAAAAAATTATTTTTAAATTAAATTAAATTAAATTATTTGAGAAAAAATATGTTAAGGACGTAATTGAAAGTAATTTTGAAAAAATTGGTAAAAATTTGAGTTTGGTGGATATTTTTGAAAGAAAAATTAGAAGCAATGGGTCAAAATACAAAAAGAAAAAATTTGGCCACATGGGACAATTCAGTCAGCAGTTCCGACGAACAAGAGCACACTGTGTGTTAAAACACGCTGAAATCAGCGCCACGCGGAGGACACGCGGGTAACCATGTGCTCAGCGATCCGATGACCCAAGTTCGATCCTGCGTGCTTGAACAACTCATATTTGTTCCCTCCTTAGGTGAGATCGGACAGACAAGATCAATCGCGATAAACGATCCAAATTTGCCTATACAACCAGCCTAAACAGGTAAAAAATTAGACAGCTCTCATCGCTCCACATCGACGCGAATGGATAAACCAGATCAACGCGGGATGAGTATATAAACATCGCGTTGCAGGAGAACCCAAACCCTATCCGCCAACCCCCATTGGAGAAGAAGAACCGTATGACGGAGAATAAGGCCGAGCGTTGACCACTGCTGCACATGAACCACTACCGACCATTAAAAAAGGTAAAATTCTACCATACCTGCTCAAAATTCGATTTCGAGTCTCCCCATGGTCATATCAGAGCAAAACAGGCGGTGGGTGAGCCGAAAACTACGGGTAAAACCTAGAGAAGCTGTCGTGGATGAAACCTAAAACCCCATCCAATGAGCCCCTTCTTGTTTTTCATTTCATGTGATTTTTTTACCATTGTATTCACCGTCCTTTTCTGTGTAAGTTTGTAATACTAGGGCCTGAAATTTGGTTTGAAATTAATTTTAAAAATTAAAATTAATATATAAAAATACAATTTTTAAATTTATAAATTTTTATTTAATGTAAAAATTAAGAAAAAATAGGTGGAGGATGGAATTGAAAATAATTTTGGAAAAAAGGGGTGAAAATTTGAGTTCGGTGGGTATTTTTGAAACGAAAACTAGGGGTCAAAACGTAATTTTAAAAACATATACCACGTAAGACTGCCCAATTAGCAACCCCGACGAATCGGAGCACACCGCGTAGCAAGGCACATTGACTCGGTGCCACACGGGAGGCCACGCTGACAATCCGCATACCCGCGATCGGAGGGTCTGAATTTATCCCCACACGCGTAGACGATCTAGATCTGTTCCCTCCTTAGGCGCGATCGATCAATTGCGATTAAACGTGATGAACGATCTACATTCGTTGCCTCTTTAAACACGATCGTATGGTTCAGATTAAATCGTGATAAACAGTCTAAATTTATTTTTTCTTTAAATGCGATCGGACGATAGATATCAAACGCGTTGAGTAGCCCAGACTAAAGAGAGACGGGTATAAATACCTCAGTTCACACCGAACCCTAACCCTAGCCACCAACCCACCGCTGGAGAAAAAGAATCCGTCTCCGAAGAAGGGAGCCGATCGTCGCCCGTTGCCGCGGTAGAGCCACCTTCGATCGCCAAAAAAGGTAAAAGAAATTTTATTCGCTCAAAATTTGATTTTGAACACCCTTGTAGCTAAATCAGAGCAAAAAGATTAGCGGATGAGGCAGAAACCACGGGTAAAACCCGACGGCACCACCGTAGAAAAAACCAAAAACTGCCTCCGATGAGTCCCTTCTCGATTTTCATTTTATGCAATTTTTCCACCATTGCATTCACCATTCTGTTTTTTACAGGTTGACCGAAGAAACTTACCCAACCGCGAAGGTAAGCCGGCGGAGCTACCACATCGAAAAATTTCGCTGCTGGTCAGTTTTTGTTTTTCAATTTTTTTGGGCCAACTGAGGCCCCTTAACGTGTTTTCTCGCGAGGATGAGTACGAAAATGGCAGAAATCGGCCAAAACTTGCCAAAAATGGCTAGTCCGAGGTAAATCATCGCCGCAGATGGTGGTGTTGTTGCCGAAACACAGTGGTACCGATATGCCAGAATTCTGAAATTGGCCAAAAAAGGTTTTTAACATCGATTTTAGATTTTTTGGGTATTTCTAGGTACTTGAAGCGTATTTTAATCTCCAAAAGAAAATTTAGGGAACCCGGGGACCGGCAGTAGACGCAACTGAAAGTTTAGTATTTTGAACAACAATTTGAGTAAGAATCCCTTACCCTATTTCCTGTTATGAAATTGAAGTTTAATTATAAATAATACGGTATTTTGTGTAATTTAGAAAACTTGTATTCAACCCTTCAAATGAAGAGTCGTTTACAAATTAATAAAATTCTTTAAATATTATTCTTTCATGGCAAATTTTCCTATTATTAAGCGTTTTAACTCGGCTATTTTCTTTAATAAGGAAAACTTAAGAAATAAATTTATATTCGAGAGATTTTGGTAGTTTGAGACTTCTTGAATGTGTTCCCGGATGAACTACTTGAACTGTCAGTGGACAGAGAAGTTGAATTCATATAGATCTTTAGCCACGCACCCAACTTATTTTGGTTGCCCCTTACTGCATGAGTCGTGTTGAGATGGAGGAGTTGAGGAAACAAATAAATGAATTGTAGTATAGTGGATTCATCCGATATAGTGTATCCCCTTGGGGTGCTAGAGTAACATTTTTAAAGAAGGAGGATGGGACGTTAAAGTTATATATTAATTACAGAGGACTGAACAGGGTCATGATAAAAAACAAGTACCTCCTCCCCAGGATCGATGACCTTTATGATCAGTTGTAGGGTGCCCAGGTTTTCTCTAAAATAGACTTGTGTTCAGGTTACTATAGATAAAGATCAAGGTAGAAGACACTCCTAAAACAATTTTTCGAACCATGTACGGACACTATGAGTTCCTGGTCATGCCATTTGGACTAACCAATGCATCAGCCATCTTCATGAATTTGATGAACAAAATTTTCAGACAATTCCTAAATTAGTTCGTCATTATATTTATTAATGATATCCTGGTATATTCAAAAAGCAGAGAGGAACACGCTCACCATCTGACATAGGTTTTGCAGATCTTTAGAGAAAAGAAGTTGTATGCAAAGTTGAGTAAGTGTGGGTTCTGCCTCGAGCAGATTACCTTTCTAGGACACATCATATCAAGAGATAAAGTGTCAGTGAATCCCGAAAAAGTTGAGACAGTGCTCGACTGGGAAAAATTAACCTTAGTCAAGGAGATTTGTAGCTTTCTAGGGATGATAGGTTATTACCACAGGTTTGTGGAAGGATTTTCTAGTCTAGCTGCTCCTTTGACTCGGCTCACAAAGAAACACGTCAAGTTTGAATGAAACGAGGACTGTAAAAGAAATTTTTCAGAACTAAAAAAGTGGTTGACTACTGCACCTGTGTTGGCCTTGCCGAGCGGGATAAGTAACCTAGGATTGGGTTATGATCTGATGCAGCATGAAAAGATTATAGCCTATGGGTCCAGGCAGTTGAAGAGTCATGAGAAAAACTACTCTGCCCATGACTTAAAACTCGTCGCGATTATCCATGACTTGAAGACTTGGCGTCATTACTTGTATGGGGAGACTTTTCAAATCTATACCGACCATAAGAGTTTGAAACGCATATTCACTTAAAAAGATCTCAATATGCGTCAGAGAAGATGGATAGAACTCCTCAAGGACTACGATTGCAACATCTTGTATCACTCGGGTAAGGGTAACATGGTAGCCGACGCACTTAGCAGAAAAAGTGCAGGTATATTAGCT